CCCCCCCCCCACGATTTGGTGTTCCTTGTCTAAAATACAAAGAGACATATGAACCGGGTAGAACCTCCCAAGTTCACTACTCCATCCTGGCTTTCAACAGCGGGCACAATTATATATATTTTATTTAATTCTTGTTGTGGGTTTTTCGGGCTCTTTGGCCCTGTTCTGAAGGTTGTTCTTCTTATTCCATTCGGCCCGCTGAGAAGTCATCCGTGCAAAGACCGATAGAAATCCAGCCCGGCAAAAGCCTGGCTCGTGCTATCCTGAGCGGAGGGCAAAGCAGCTCTGCTCGGTGACAAGCGCTGACAGAGCTGACATCTAAGGAGGTGCTTCTTTTGGTCCGACCTCCATCAGTAGCTCATTTATTTGTGAGGATGCAAGGAAGGTCCTTTTACAGTGGCTGCTCCCAGGCTGTGGAATGCACTTCATCAGGAGGCCAGGATGGCCCTTCTCTTTTGTATTTCTGCTGGGATACAAAGACCTTCCTTAGTCAGGCTTTTAATTAATTTGGGAAATAGGCAAAGGCCAAGAGGGAGAGAGAGAGAAGGAGGCCGCAGCCTCCGCCCTATTGTTTCGCCCCAGCCGAAGAATCCCGCTCACCTCACGAGTAGCAGCAGCTCCTCTCAGCTGCGGGCCACAGGGGCGGCCGTGGCGCCCACCTCCTCCTCCTCCTTCAGCAGCAGCGAGAGACGGCCGGCCGCGGCCTCCTCTTCCCCCCGCCGGCCCTCGGCGGCTGCTTTGACGGCGGCGGCGGCCAGGCCGGCCTCTGCAGCAGGGGCCATCTTGGGTGCCGCTTTGCTCGCCTCAGCAGCAAAGCCCTGCCTCGCCGAAGCAGGCGTCGCTTGCCTAACGCGTCCTCGCTCCGCGGGCGGGCGGGCGCCCTCCCCTTCCTGCTCACCCAGAAAGGGCGGAGCGGAGAGGAGCGGAGCGGAGGGGGGGGGGCTGGAGCCCCTTCTCCTCCTGGCTTTTCTGCTCCTTTCCTCTCCGGAGTGAGTGGGAAGGAAGGCGCCGGAGCCGGAGAAGAAACGGAAAGCTCTGCCGCTAGTCCTGCCGAACGCACTCCCCCTCAAGCCCTCGAAGAAGGGCTGCCCGGAAATCAAAAGGGTCCTTGTATGTTGCGGACCATAGACGGAGAGGGAGGGAGGTGGCCCCTTTTCTTGGAACGTCCCCGTTCCGTCTGATCTTCACCTGCTTAAGGCTTTCGTAGCACAATTCTGGGCACGGCTCTTCCGAAGGGAGCCCAGGAAAAACTGAACAGGGCCTGCTCCCTACTATGTGTGCATCTAGGACCGCAACCGAAAGGCATCTTTTCCTGGCCACCCTTTAACCACAGTGCGGCTGCATTCTGAGTAAATCCTCTCTAGACTGGGCTGTAGCCCATTTTAGAATGTTTGTAATTGGGTGTGTGTTTATTGATTGCTGGAAATCACCTTGTGTGCAGGGATCCAGTACAAAGACCATAACCACAGTGAGGAGAATAACCATACTTGACTATGTAGGTCATGAAATCATACTAAGTACTGTACTGTATAGCCAGACCATACAGCTACTTTCTTATTTTAGATGCCATTCCTTTCTGTGACCCAATCCTTTCTTAATATCATAGCAACTTTAACAGAGGAAATCATGTTTTTAAGAAAGGGTTCAGTCTAAAGGTCACCTTCATGGGTAACCGCCATGGGGCAGAGCAACTGTCCCCCAGCACCCCCCTCTGGACACGGTCAGCCAGGAAGGAGTGGAACCACCTTAAAGCAGTGCCCCCAACTCCCAACCCAGCCAGCCTATCCAGAAGGACACCACGGTCGATGGTGTCAAAAGTCAGTGAGAGGTCCAGGAGTATCAACAGGGTCACACTCCCCCTGT